TGTCCTCTAAAGTCACCCATTTTGAATACTATTGCGTGATTTCCTTGTTTTTCAATGCAGCATAGTATTCCACACACCACAGCTTCTCTATCCATTTGTTTGTTGATGGGCACTTAGGTTGTTTCCAACTCCTTGCTGTTGTGAACAAAGCCGTGATAAACGTGGGTGTGCAGACAACAAATTTTTATGGGAGCAGATAACCAGATCCTTTATTCCCCTCTGCCCTCCCGCCACCCATAAAAGTTGCTGCTGAGTTTGAACCATTGAGCTTTAGGGGTTGGCATCCAAATGCTTCCCCACTGTGTTCCCAGGGCTTCTGGAATTAGAGTTGTCGCATCCTGTGATTTTGCTGTGACACTGCCAATCTGCTGTGTTTTTGGTACCAGGAGGCACCGTTGTGTGAGAAGGAGGCCCTGCCACTGTCCAAGAGCTCCTTCAAGCTGCTGGGCTCCTCAGATGACCTGTCCAGTGACTCGGAGAGCCAGCTCCCGGAGGATCCCGCACCCCTCTCGCCCCAGCAGGGCTTCCGACGGCGAGCCAACACCCTGAGCCATTTCCCCACCGGCAGCCAGGAGCCCCCAGGAGCTGCCGAGGCCTCTCCAGGGGCCGCACAGAGGAAACTCATGAGGTACCACTCAGTGAGCACAGAGACGCCTCATGAGCGGAAGTAAGATTTGTTCATAGCATACTTTGTTTGTTATTAAATAGTACGTTGGTGACAAACTTAGGTATGTGCATCTGAGGTGTGTTTGCTGTGTGAAAGAGGAACCTGAGACAGACAGGGCGATTCTCAGCTTAAAAAAAGCTAGCCAACCAAACAAACAAAAAAATAAACACAAAAAACCAACAGAACCCCCAGAAAAACTTAAATCAGTGTTCTTTCTGACACTAATCCCTTAGGAAATAGGGACATGGAAGACTTAGTGTTGTTGAAGTACCAAGTATGAGTATTATGAGGAAAAAGTAAAGGTTAGCAAAGAAGTACTGAAAATGTGTAGTAATTATTTCTTGAACAATACAAGAGGCATTATTAACATTGTGACCTAGCTGCTAGCTGTGAGGAGAGGTAGCCAGACAGTGGAGGTTACTGGACTTTGTGTCTAAACGGTTTATGGTTCATGCGTATGGTACATATATCACACAGAGGAAACCAGCCTGCCAGCAGGCATCTCAGTTTGTACAAAATTTGTGCCTCCAGCAGTCTTGCTCTTTTGAAAAATCTGAATCCGAATCACTGTCAGGTGGAGGTAATCTGTGCAGTGCCATAGATACCTAAAGGGACTCGGGGCCCTGGTTTTGGTCCCAGTTCCTTCATGAACTAGTGGTGACCTTGGTCAGTTTGCTCACCTTCTCTCTGTGATGTGTTGAGAGATGTGTCCCAGGGTCTGCCAGTGTGAGATTTCTAGATTCATCTTACTAAAAATAGATCCATAGAGCAGTTGAGAGTTTCTGGCTTTAGAGATGGATATGTGATACGGAGATCCAAACTCTCCCTGTCCCCTCTAGGATCCCTTGGGGAATAGATTGGCCCTGGCAAATGCTAAGGACTGTAAGTGGACACTGAGCTAGCTTTAAACATAACTCTTGAAAATCTCTCACCTTACAGAGCAGCATATATGTTTGTCTTCATGCATGTCCAGTCCCCAGAAACCACCGGACATACATGTCCACAAAGCTCATGCAGGGAGAGTGAGGAGTCTGCGCAGAGGAGGCTGAAGGGCTGCGGGTGCAGACAGGACAAGTCAGCATCCACAGCCCTGCAAAGGTGCAGCGGAGCCACTGCTGAGCTTTGTCTTCAGTCAGCTCGGAAAGAAGTTAGCTGTGGATCTTAGGGGTCCCTCTGGATGGCTCTGGTCCAGGATCTTATGTCAGGATGTACTTGAGGAACTAGCATCTAATGAGAGTAACATTTCAGGGACTGGCGGAGTTGAGCTGGGCCTGTGTGAGGTTCTTAGCTGTTCTGAGGCTGCCTGTTAAAGCTGCTTCTCCGTTTTCTGCTGTTGTGTTCTCATGTCTGTGTCCAGCGCCTTCAGAGGTGGGAGAAGCATTCCTGCCTGGAGGACTCCCATTCTTTTGCCAAGTCAGCCTCTGTAGCAGAAAATGAGTGTCCTTGCCCGTTTGTTGCCCTTCTCCTTCCTCCCAAGAATGCAGCTTCCGAGGGGAGGGCTGGACCTGGGTAGTGGATGAGAGAATGGAAGTGTCTGTCCGTCCTGGTTCATTTTTCCTTCTGCCTTACAGAGAACCCTTTCCCCAGCTACCTTCAGGAGACAAGACATTGAAACTTGGCAGGATATTGTCCATTTCAGAGAGAAGCTTCCTAAAAATATCTTTATTTTCTTTTTAGTAGATTTTTGTTTGTTTACTTTCCTGTTAGTTCCTCAAAAGCAAGTGCCTCTAGTCCCCAACTTAGCCCAGCTTACAACAGATTCTAATGAGATGCACTTTTCCCCCCTGATGGGTACATACTATCATTACCATTATGTACTACATACAGTGTTAAAATAGATCTGTAAGTTGACATAAAATGTTTCTAACCTCTAAACACAAATGTTGTGTTGTATACCTTAGAGTCGGAAATAGCGGACCCTGTGATGGGTTTTCAGAGGCATTTAATCACAAGAGAAGAGAGTGTTAATCCTCCCACTGAGAAGCTGGTGGCCTTGAACCACGTGCCTTTGGGATTGCAGCACAGCTTCTTTCCACTAGGCCACCAGAGCTCCCTTAAACACAGATAGAGATCAGATTTATACAGAGACTGACTTAAAAAGGCATTAATAAGGAAAAGGGTTTTTTTAAAAAAGGAGAAATTTGGATTCTTTTAGAACAGACTTTTCCACAGGCTTGTCTGAGGAGAACCGCATTGTAAATTGGGAACAGCCTGTCGAGGAACAAGTACCTACTGCATAGCAGATATTTGAGAGGTGGCCAGTCACGACCTCTCTCCTTCTCTCCTTTTTCCAGAAGACTGCCTTAGCCAGAGAGATCAGTGAGCTGTGGAGGTGAAGGGGAGAGAAAGGCCCCGTCTCCCTGCTGTTTGCTCTGCGTGTGTCCCCTCTCTCCTCTCTAACCCTCCCGTACTTTCTTTCGACTCACTCCCTAGTGCGAACCATCCTCCTGTGGGCAAATCTCAGAGTGGCTCAGGTCAGCCGGCAGCTCCTGCTCCTTCACCTCGTCTTAATCCCTCCGCCTCCTCGCCCAATTTCTTTAAGTATCTAAAACATAACTCAAGTGGAGAACAGAGTGGGAATGCTGTGCCCAAGAGGTGAGCGCCCTGCATGGCCAGCTGAGTGTCGTCTGTCATCCCAGAAACTCCACGCCATGCTGGCTGGAGGGGAAGGGGCCCACACACAGACCCCGGGACCACTGCCTTTGTGCACGCCTGTGTGTGTCTGTCCATCCTTCCAGCTGAGAGGACTTGATGGTGCTGTTCGATTTCTCACCAGTAGTTTGAAAACGAGTCTTGATGGCTGGCCGTTTACCATGTGCTTATTTTCACATGCTCCTAGCCCGGCACACCTGCTCCCAGATTAACAATGGCTGTGTTTGATAGCGGGGGACCCCTGGGAGGGTGGGCAAAGGGTTCACATGCTCAGCTCCTAACCAGAAGGTGGGAGGTTTAAGTCATGTCTTCCTTCCACCCCAGGCACCTCGGAGGAAAGGCCTGGCAGTGACATTAAAACAAAACAAAATCAGCCAATTTAAACTCTGCGGAGTACAGTTGTCTTAAATTGGAACTAACTAGATGGAGCAGATGTTTCTGCCCTGCGCACTGTAATCTGTGTCATACCAGCAACTTCCTGAGTGAAGGAGGAGCATGATTTCTGATTAAAAGGAAGTTATTGAAAGATTGACTATCTTTTTTTTTTTTTTTGTTTCCATTTTTTCAGTCATTGATTTCCCTATATTGACTGAACAAGAAAGTTAAAGCCTCATTTAGAATGTTTCCAGTTTCTTACCTGATTTGCTTTTCTTAAAATGTTCCTTTTATTTTGACGTTTATGTTTTATGCTTTTGTGTGTTTATATTTCTTTATCCTAAACTCTTTTTTCAACCACACTCTCAGCGTCTCCTACCGTAATGCCCTGCGGAAAAAACTCCATTCTTCTTCTTCTGTGCCAAATTTTCTAAAATTTCTGGCTCCTGTAGATGAAAATAACACCTCTGACTTTATGAACTCAAAAAGGTAGGGTTTCATTTAGATCTTCTAAGCCTGGCATGATAAATGTTAAATTATTGATTGATAAAGGAATTTTTTTAAACTGCTCTTTTGCCATTTTAAAAGTGATTGTAGCTGAATCTATCGTATTTTTTTCTTATTGTATTTTATATCTTTTTCTTGTTATTGTTGTTGGGCATTATTGAGTTGGAACTGACCCATGGCTGACCCTCCAGCAGATATTCAGAGGCAATTTAATCACGCAAGGAGGACTTAGCCCATCTTTCTCCCTTGGAGAAGCTAGTGGATTCGAACCACGTGCCTTCTGGATGGCGGCACAGCTCCTTCCCACTAAGCCACAAGAACTTCTTCTTATTTCTTCCTCAGAATCATTTAAAATTGTACAGTCACCTTCTTCAGTTTCAATTCACTCTCTGCCACTCATATGAACCCTCCATTGGGTATCTGAGCTGTAAATCTCGTGGGAGGAGAAGACCAGTCTTTCTCTTGAAGAACTGCTCCTGGATTTGAACCACCAGGATTAGTGTATTGAGCCGGAATCAATTTGACAGCATTGGGTTTGGTTTGGGTATTGGTATCACCAGAAGACTGAAGAAAATTGTAACCAGTTCTCCAGAGTTGGAGGCAGTGTTTCAGGGTAATGAGCTCACTGTCCTAACTAAGATGTAAGTTCAGGGAGTTGCCTATTTCTGTAAGGTGCTCTTGAGGTAGTCGTGTGGATGCCACAGAACAAAGCCCTGTCTGTCCCAAGTTGTTGATAAGCTTGAGCTGGTTGTTCCAGCCCATCTCACTGAAGGCCTTCCTGATTGAGTATGTGTGTGGCATGGGCCACCCCAGCTTGTCCTGTGCATTGGAAGAAATGGAATGATTTAGGTAATTAATGCCTTGATGCAATTTAACCAGAACCTTTCTTATTTTGGGGGCAGCACATGATGACCATGAATCTGTTGAGAAAGTCTGCACACACAGGCCGCTGTGGATTAGGGCCCTGTGGCAGTGTTCCCTACAGGTAGTTTCTATCCTGCATAGGCCCCAGGACAGAGGTTGAGAGAAGCTGGTGGTCAGTGGACCGTATTCTCTCCTGTAAGATAGATGCTTTCCTTCAGGTGTCCTGAGCCCTCCTGGGACGGTAACTTAAATCCAATGAGTACCTAATAGTGTTTGTTTATACCAAGAAAATTTATGCGTTAATGCTTTCTTTTTAAAAGAGTCAAACTGAAAAACACAGCGACAACCGTTGATGCCTCCCCATGAGTGCTAAGTCCTTTATCCTATAATTTTAGGGACTTTGAGCCCAAAACCAACCACCCAGGTGACGCCACTGGGACCCCCGTGAAGACCCGAAGGCACTCGTGGAGGCAGCAGATCTTCCTCCGGGTGGCGACCCCGCAGAAAGCCAGCGAGTCTCCGGGCAGATACGAGGGTGAGTAGGTCCCTGCCAACGCAGGCGTGCCTGGTGCAGGGCTCCTGAACAAAGTGTGCTCAGTGGAAGTAACATAAAACGAGATTGTGAGGCAAAGCAGCCCTTGGTTCAAAGTTCCTTGAGAAAGAAGCTCTTGGGACAGGGCTTGGGCTGTTTTCCAGAAGATTCCCACGGCCCACGTAGACCAGAAACAGGAAGTGACGTTTGGAGATGGTGCGTCCACCCTGAGCTGGGTGACATGGGAGCTTTTGAGACATCTGGGCTCATGTCCCTCCTTCTATCTTCTCCTTTCCACTGTGCCTGTATTCTCCTCCCTGATCACTAAATATGGTTGATGCGTGGTGTGGCATTAGAGGGACCCCCCACACTCAACTCTCTGGTCAATGTGATGCCCCACCCTGGCATGATTGCTATCTGTCAGTCTGGGCTTATGGGAGGACCAGCTTGTGTCCTTGCATCCTCTCATGCCACCTAACGAAAGGGAGAGCATGCTTCTGTCTCGACTTAAGCCAAACCCATTGCCCCTGAATCCATCCCAACTCAAAGCACGCATGTGGACGGTTGAACCGCCCATGGGATCTCCAAGGCTTTGGTGGTCTAGTAGCAAGAAGCTGTGCTGCAATCCCGAAGGTAGGCAGTTTGAATGCCACCAGATGCTCCCAGGGAGAAAGATGGGCAGTCTCCTCCTATGCTGTTAACTGCCTCTGAAAACCCACTGGAGGGTCAGCTATGAGTCCGTTCCAACTCTATGATGAAACACAACAGCAACAATAATCTTGATGGAAGCCAACTGTCATCTCCCTCTCACAGAGCCATTTATACCTCAGTGAGCAGCCGAGCACTTAACCTCTGTGCCACTAGGGTGCCGATATTGAGTTATAACAAAAAGTGAATATAAAAATAGTTGCATTGGGGAGCTCTAGTGGCCTAGTGGTTAGGACCTGCGACTACAATCCCAGAGGCACGCAGTTCGAATCCACCAGATGCTCTGCCAGGGAAGGAGGGACAATCTCCTCCTGTACCAGTCAGATCTGATTTGACGGTACTCACACAAAAATAATAAAATAAAAAAAATTTAAAAAAAAAATAGTTGCATTGACTTTAAGATTTTTTCCCCTCTGTCCAGTGACATCATTTAACTTCAGTAGCACATATTTTCTTTTTCTTAGTAATCTCAACCAGATAATGTAAATAGAAAACAAAATAATGGCATGCCAAAGATGGCTTGCAATCTTCGGATCGCCACCAGTGAGGGGTCACTCTTTTCTCTTGACATACCTCTGTGCACCATGTAGAAGCCAGGAACTAGTTGCCACTGGGCCGATTTCTGCACAGGTTGCTAGAATACTTATTTTTTTAAAAATGAATCCTCTGCCAAAGTAAAACAGGGTTTGGATCCTGGTTTAAGTTCAGCTGACTGGCACATGACATAATGCCAGTCACATCACTTTACCTTTGGTTATAAATGGTTCCAGTAATATTGAACCTCCCCATTTCTCCTGGAATTGCATTGAGTTAGAAATGAGTTAGTTTTAAGATTTTTTAAAGATGGATCGAATGTAAAGTGATAGCGTTATTATTTTTTGCTTCCATAGAAGTTGGAACACGGGTGAGTTTCTCATACAGAAGCAATGTAAGAAACAGTGGATTTACTGTTGTGCGTGTTGATTGGATTCTAAATCATAAAGACCCTATAGACTGGAGCGGAACTATGTCATAGAGTTTTCTAGGGCCCTCTGGTGGCTTAGTGGTAAGGAATTGAGCTGCCAACTCAAAAGTACACAGTTCAAATATACCAGCAGTGTATACCAGGGAAAAAGATGGGCATTCTCTTCCCGTATGATTTACAATCTCTCAAAACCTCCTAGAGGGTCAGCTATGGCAATTAGTTGAGTTTGAATGCAAACCTTAGTTAAATAGATAGGAAATCTCAAAACCTCCTTCAAGGAGAAAGAAAACAAGGCAGACATAGTCCATCCACTTCATCAACCACTCTCTCTTTTTTTTCCTTTCTTTTTTTTTTATCAACCACTCTCTTAATACTAAAACATAGCTAAGCAAAAACTTGTAATTTCAAACTGATGTTTGCAAGAGATACGGATTCTGATGAATGTGGGAAAAAAATAGAATTTCTCTTATTTGGGGGATTCTGGTTTTAGAAATTGGCTAACAGTGGAGAAAAGAGAGGCAGCTGATGGATTTGAACCACATGCCTTTGGGTTGGTAGCATAACTACTTACCTCTGTGCCACCAGAGCTCCCTGGATAAGCAAACAGTCCAGTGAAACCGAAGTATTCAGAGTGCTTTTGTAGAAAAGAGATGTGTGAGAGTGTGTAATCAATGGTAAGGTTAAGATAGATAGTAGACTTGTACACTAATGGTTATAGCGGCATTATTTACCATCACAAGAAAATGCAAACAGCCCAAATGTCCAATTACAAGCAAATAGTTTGAGAAATTATCTTACACTCACACAGTGGAATACTGTGCAGTACGCAGGAGCAATAACTTTGTAAATAATTACCTAACTTGGGAGGGACTGGAGAGCATTATGCTGAGTGAATTAACTCAGTCCCACAAGGATAAATATTATATAAAACCGTTTATTGTAGAATGCGTATAAAGATCCAGGAGGAGTGTGAGTGGCTTGAAGCAGAGGGATGTGGATGTACAGGGGCAAGAGAGGATTAATCATTGGGTTGTACAATTTGATGGGGGGAGTTAGGGAAATTGAAATATTTTTTTTGAATTTGTATTAGAATTTTGTAAATAAATTGGTAAAAAAAAGAAGAAAAAAATTTTAAAAAAGAAAGATACTAGTTGGCTGCAATAGGAACCATGGTTGTAATCTGAACAGTTTGATGACTATTTTATGTGTTTGTGGACAGTGAGGAAAGTATATGGTTTGATTGACTTGCAAGAATTTCATTGTTGTTGTTATGTGCCATCCAGTGGGAACCAACTCATAGCTGGTCCTCCGGCTGTACCACTGGGAAGTTATAATGGGTAATAGAAATGAAATAATGACAAGTGAAACTTTACTGGAAAAGAAGAGCATGACATTCACATCCGTGTTCAACCACAGCCCTTTTGTTTTCATCAGTAGTTATTAATTTCCAGTTAGTGTTGTTAGGTGCCATCAAGTCATCTCCCACTCATAGCATCCCTGTGAACAGCCACTCTATCCCTATTGTGATAGCTACTCACTGGGTAATTCCATCTCATTCAGGGACTTCCTGTCTTTGCTGACTCCTGTCTTTCCTGGTATGTCTCTCTTCAAGGGCTACCTCTATGCTGCCCCAGCGATGATCAAGTCTGGGCATGTCTTTTTAATTCCTCCTTCTCCACCACCCTTGTAATAAGTTCCTGACTACTGCCTACATTTAGACTTCAGTGGGAGACTTACACTGTCTTGTCCCAGATGATTTACAGCTCCTGAAAACACACTGGAGGGCCAGCTGTGGGTGTGTTCCAACTTGTTATGCACCATAGAGCCAAACCACCCCATAGCTGGACCTTCTGGTGGGTTTACAGAGACAAGATAATGAAGTTTGAGTTTTGAGGATGACCTGAGAAACTCACCACTTGGTGGCGCTGTTGCTCCCTGTGTCCTGACTGCTCTGGTCTCTTTCCAGTTGGGGGAAGAAATATGCTTGCCTTTTTGTTTTGTTTTTGCCACAGTATTTTTCTTCCTTGCTCATTCGCCACTTATGTGAATGGAGAGCTGCTTGCTGAAATCGAGGCATTTCCCTTTCATTTTTTACAGGGAGTGGGTAAAACAAGAAAGAAAATGTCTCAGTGCTGGAGACACATGGTTGTGTACAATTAGTCTTCGTTTACTGTTTGTGGGCTTTGCTTTTCTGTGTGTGGTGAATGAAGATAAGGATTAAGATGAGATATTGTGCACCAGAAATGTATGTGGGCATGTGTATTCCATAGTTTGAAGCTACTTGGGGTTTTGTGTTCTTTTCTTTGGTGAAACTTCTTGGCATATTACTACAGAAGTGGAATTTCACAGAGAAAGGCACATTTGACCTTGGCTTAGATCTCTGTACTTGTTAACAGTTTTAAGTTAACTTGCTGGACTTTTCCTAGTTGTCATCATTATTGTATGTTGCTGAGTCGGAACCAACCTTTTATCTAGCCCTTCAGCAGGTTTTCAGAGGCAGTAAATCACACAGGAGGAGATTGCCCGTCCTTTTCCTGTGGAGAAGCTGGTGGATTCAAGCCCTGTGCCTTCAGGATTGCAACTCAGCTTCTTACCACTAGGCCACCAGAGTCCCTGGTGTTTTACTTGTCAGTCAGCTGTAAAAGGACTCATTTGTGTAAAGGCTGGAGGATGGTGGTAGGGGCCACAGACAGCATATCAACCAGAGGTAGCTGGGGCTGAGGACTCAGGCATGGGTGGAACTGGGGTCTGGGGTTCAGTCCCTGCTTGCTGCTGCGCTATTGGGTGACCAAGGATGATGCCCACACCACCTTTTCTGGCAGAGGGTACCTCCTTGGGGCTAATCTGACTCCAGAACATGTGCCTTTTATCGCCAGGATAAAATGAAAAATGAAAAATTTTAACTTCTCCACTTCGACCTCCAATCTGTAGTCATCAGAGAGATAGAGAAGTTTTTACAGCAAGCAATTGGAAAATACCTTTCGGGGAGCAAAATCTGTAGCTATTTCCAAACATGAGTTAAAGTTGTTGCCTGTGGATGCAGATGGATTCACAGCTGACCCCCGGTGAACATCAGGGAGGCTGCAGATTGCATGAGAGGAAATTACCTGTCTTTTCTTCTTAAGAGCAGCTGGTGGATTTGAACTGCCGCCTTGAGCTGGTAGCTATCAGAACTACTCTCAGAAGTCAAAGCAACCGCAAAATCAGATTTCAGCCTTGGGTGACACAAGCATGCAGGGTTCACCCTAGGCTTAAATGGCTGAATTTAAGGAAGCATTCATGAAAGCGCTGACCCTGTATTTACGTGATCCTAAGAGTTGAGTGCACCCTC